TTATCTTTAATCTATGATTTAATTTTTTTTTTTATTTAATGATTTTACTTAAATAAATTTACAAAAAAATCATTTGACCTTCGCACTCATTCGCTTATTCTCAATTAATGAGTAACAATATTAATAATTTTAATATATACGTTTCGAAGTTTTTATCGTGTATCCAGTAGAAAAAGGGATCTTTGTAAAGTATAATAATAATAATAATAATAATAATAATAATAATAATAATAATAATAATAATAATAATAATAATAATAATAATAATAATAATATATTGCGGACTGATGAGTAACATTACGTAAGGATATCCTTAGATTTTTACAATGCAATTGTAAAGAGTTTCAACTTTTCTTGAGACTTCTTTTCTCATCGTGTAAGTCACCCCTCGTTTCTTACCCCTTATCGTATTCGATGTTAGAAGACTTCAGTTTCGTAACACGTGGTAATTTGATTTCTTTCACACTCAGCCTTTCTTGGACTGTTTCTATTTACGGAGGAGACTTTTCCTTCTCCCTCACCCCTTCCCCTTTCCTCCCCTTAGCCCGATCCCCACCACGTAGCTCTGAGCTCTGGTCTGATCGACAAAACTGTTTTTAGAAAATTGCCTTCCTTTCCACTTTTCTTTCTTTCTTTCTTTCTTTCTTTCTTTCTTTCTTTCTTTCTTTCTATCATCTCCTCCCTCCGCGCGTCCCACACTTCTGCACCCCCTCCTTCCCCCCGTTTTTTTCCCCTCATTCTCTCGTGAGTGAGCAGAGAATATTCTCTTACAAAGGGCGGTTAATGCCTGTTTCGACCTTCGATTCTTTTTATGACCTTCCTCTTGATATTCAGGTTTCTAAATACATGAGAAAACTTAAATGGCTATCTGTTTAACACACAAATGAGTCTACTTTGTACCGGGATTAATTATCTATTCTATGTTTAATACAAATTGGTCTTCGTTTCTACAGAGTGAATTACCTTACCGTAATAAGTGCTGCAGTTTGTTAATCCGTAGTTCTCTCTCTATCTCTCTCTCTCTTTCTTTCTTTCTTTCTCTCTCAATTGGATCTCTATGTTCTGTTCTCGTCCAATTCTCTCCGTCAAGATTCCTTTTTCCTGTATGGTTAGCTATTTGTAAAACTCGTTACCTAAATATATCCGTAATACTCTCGTCTCTCTCTCTCTCTCTCTCTCTCTCTCTCTCTCTCTTTCTCTCTCTCTTTCTCTCTCTCTCTCTCTCTCTCTCTCTCGTGCGCACGCGCACAGTATCAATGATGAAAAGTAGATTAGATAGTTACTTCTTACATATTGATTTAATTTAATTATCTGAGTAAGTGTATTATATTCTCGTGGTGATTATTTTCTTCTTCTTATTATTATTATTTTTTCTTTTATTTTTTATTTTTTATTTTTTTTTTTTTTTTTTTTTTATAATATACAGGCCATTAGTTGCGATATTTATTATATTATTAATCCTTTGCACTTGTAGTCTAAAATATTGAGATCTGTAGAACAAGAAATTAGAAAAAAAAAAACGAAAACGAGTGTGTAATTAATGTTTACATGGTTTCAATGTTATTCACGCCTTTTTTTTTCTTTTTTTTTTTATGGATCATATTGAAAATAGATTACTTATTTCGCCATAATGACGACACTGAAGTCACTTTTATTAATTAAATATTCAATACATAGTAGTAGATTTGATTATATTTTTGTATTATATTATTTCTGTAGATTATTGATATCTTTATGATCATATGACTAGGTATGACTAATAATAATGTATCTATATGTCTATTTATCTATCTATCTATCTATCTATCTATCTATATCTCGTTAACTTTTTTCCCTTAGAAAGATGAAAAACAAATCTGAAAAAGTATAAAATCTACCACAATTCTACTTAATGATATCCGTCTTCGAAGTTTTCCCCCTGACTCCAGAACGGAATTTCCTTTCGTTGCGATTTAATTTCGCTAGAAAGAAATGCACAAAAGAAAAATATCGCTTTGCCAAATGCACAAACTTTTGTAACGATAAAACCAGTAGTACGTAGTAGAGGTACGTGCTATGTAATTCGCACTTCCGAACTTCTTCGTCTCGGCAAGAGTTTTCATTTGTGAGAAACAATATACCTATAAATCGTTTTCTTATTTTTCGCATCTCGCTCCCTATATATTAAAAATTAAGTATACGAAGTATTTTTCATTCTGATCCCCCATTGAAATAAAACCTGTTCGAAAGTATTAATAAAGTTAATAATAAAGAAAATCTCTCTTTCTCTTTCTTTATAAAAAAAAAAAGAAAAAAAGAAAAAAAAATAATTAGAATCCATCGAAATAAGACGCGCATAATATGAATAAAGAAAAATAAAGAAATAAATGATTAAAAAGAAAGAAGACAAAAAAAAAAAAAAAAGAAAATCATATCGCGTTAATTAAAGCACAAAAATCTACTCGTTCATATTAGTTTCCCATTGTCGATTCAGAAACGTTTATAGACTTCATATTTGTAATGCATGTGTGTACGTGTGTATGTGTATATGTATATATATATATATACACACCTATATGTATATAGATATATTTGTTAATACATCTATTTCTCTCCTAACCATTGTCAAAGAACAATTCGGATATAGTAGTTGCCACAACGGAATACTGCCAATTATCAGCGGACTATGCTTTTCGACGCGTCCGATATCTATTCGTCAAATTTCAAACGCAATCTCCAATCATATACCGAACACTGCGACAGAATAGATAGAGTTACCGGTAGCCACTAAATAATTATCAGTCACCACCCCAGT